ATGATGAAGGCAGATTCCTGGCTCCATGTCAAGGTGCTGACCTACCTTTCCCAGGAACAAATGGAACTTAGAGACCGTGTAAGTATGGGCATATTGACAGTGGAAACTCTGTTTTACAGTGCAAAAGACTATATATAAACCAGTGTAAGATGAACTACCAGATGTCTGCATGTGGCATTTAGGAAGTTGTGAAAATCTATAAATCCTGAAAAACAGGAATGCTCTAGAGATCACCATTTGCAAATAGTTTCAGTGATGGACATACTAATGTTTTAAGACTCCTCAACGACCTTGGGGATCAATGACATTCAAAATTTCTTCATAAAACTTTATCATTAGTTCATAGACTAAAAGTATTAATACATAGTTCTAGGAAATACTTAAAAGTACTTTCATCACGGGGCGCCTGGGTGGCTCAGTCGTTGAGCGTCTGCCTTCGGCTCGGGTCATGGGTCCTGGGATTGAGCCCCACATCAGACTCTCTGCTCCATGGGAAGCCTGCTTCTCCCTCTCCCACTCCCCCTGCTTGTGTTCCCTCTCTTGCTGTGTCTCTCTCTGTCAAATAAATAAAATCTTTAAAAAAAAAAGTACTTTCATCACCATGATTTCATTTTATCCTCATAACAAGCCTGTAAAGGGTTGCTATTCCCCATTTTATAGAAAAGGAATCTGTGTGGGAAAGTGAAACAACGTGCTCTGAGGTTATTAGGAACCAAAAAAAAAAAAAAAGTAGGAGACAGTACTGAGTGTTGGTGGTGCCAACAGGAGCTGATGTTTTCAGCTCCGGTTCTCAATTCGGCGACTGCTATGTTTGTCGTCGCAGAACGGTTTGGTGTCACAAATGAGGATGGCACAGCCCCGAGTATGGAGCACAAATCTTAGTATTACAGCTAATACTTCAAATGGTTGATAGAGTCAAAGGAAAACAGCTCTCAATCTGCAGAGATTGTTGGAGTTACACCCAAAGCATCCTTTTTTTCAAAGATCTAGCTTCCTCGTGAGTGACTCAAAAACAAACAAACAAACAAACAAACTTGGGATACTTTTCTACTATAGGAAATATTTTGGATTTGTACAAGTGTAGCTGTATTTTGTTGGTGATTTTACTAATGACCACTCTCATTTATAAATGTCAGCTCAGTCAACCCAGTAAAATTTATGACCATCATCCGTGCGGCAAATCCATGTTTAAATGAAGGGGAAATGAAGACACATTTGAGGCTCTTGTACATCCTCTCAAGTGTCTGTCATTATTGGCGTCTTCCCAGTCACTGGTGTGCAAACCCGAGAAGTCACGTCATCTTTCTAGGTCTCAGTTTCTCATGTACCAAAATTCGCCATACTGAAAATTCATGTACAGAATTCGCTGACTGGCAAGGTTCCTTCCAACTCTCAGATGATAAGATATTATGGAACAGGATCCCTGCCCAAAGAATATATGTATCTGCTTACTGATAACCACTGCCAGTGACAGGAAGTTCAAATGATACTACAGAAGATGAAATAGAAACTAGTGTCCAAGTTCAGCAGGATCTTGGCGATTCTGACAGTTACTTCTGAACTAGGAATGTAGATGGCACAGAGGAATGAAGACCAGCTCCGCTTAAGAGGTACTGACATGGAAGTCTCAGCGCTGGCTGAGCCCCTACAGCCAAGACTTGTAATGCTTGATGTTTAAATCTCCAACATACCCTCCACTCCGATCATTAGGAATGAGACCCATCTGGCCGATGTTCTTCCTGGTTGCCTTGCGTGGGAATCATTCTGCGGTTAAGCTGATAGAAGTTGGCCTCTGATGCTGTAAACTCCCCCAGCTGCTCAAAACCTCTGCAATTTACTTTCACTTTCATTTTAAGAGCAACAACAACAAAAATCTGGCTCTCGGAAGAGACATCCATCTCAAAGTGTGAAATCTGACTACGGGTGTGGAGGGAAAGCTCATAAGGGACAGGGTTAGAGTTTTCTGGCATTGACTCAGCTCGTTTTTTTCTGTAAAACTTAAAATCTCAGCTCTCACATAGGCCACAGGCTCACTGAAAACTCCCAACCAGGCGCGAGAGGGTAAAGCCCAGTCGATCCACAGGTTTGCCTCCACTTGAAGAGAGATGTGGAGACTACACATATTCGCGGGTTCTACGGGGCGACAGCAATCTCGCTGCTCAGAAAGATTAAAGAGTTCAAATGAAGCATATTTTTCCCCTCAGACGGGCGAACAGAATAAACATATCAAGCACTAACTGCCTTAGTGGAAATCCTCTGTTGCACAGGCAAACAATTATGAGATAAGAAATAAGAATAAACAACCAAATGCTTTGATGTTTTAAAAACAAATTCTTTGATGTTTTAAAAATACTCATTTGCCAAAACAGAAGTAATTCGTTTTATGAGTAAACAACATGTTACCAAGCATCCAGAGGGGGAAAAAAAAAAAAGAATGGGGTAATACCGATCTGAGAAGAGAGAACAAAAGTTTAATGTGATATTGCGTAAGAAAACATTCAGTGGAGTTCCTGGTTAGCCAGAAGTGGCTTCCTGGAAGAGGTAAATTGAGGCTAGCTGTGGAATACAGAAATTATTCTTGTGTTTTTCAGACAGGAAAGGGGTCTTCTGTGTCTATAGATGGCATTTAATAAGCCAGCTAGCCCTTAAAGCACACTTACTTCTGTCTTGTATGAACCTCACACTGCATGGGAATATATAGCCGTTGAAAACTTCAAATTGTTTCATGCAATCTCTTAAGAGATTTGGTCTGGGCGTACCTGGGTGGCTCAGTGGGTTAAGCGTCTGCCTTCAGCTCAGGTCATGATCCCGGGGTCCTGGGATCGAGACCCGCATCAGGCTCCCTGTTCGGCGGGAAGCCTGCTTCTCCCTCTCCCACTCCCCCTGCTTATGTTCCCTCTCTCGCTGTGTCTCTCTCTGTCAAATAAATAAAAAAACTCTTAAAAAAAAAAAGAGATTTGGTCTGATATTTGATTATTTTTGGTGTCACATTTTTCTCATGAAAACATAATTCTCATGTGCTTGAGTGGTAAAAAAAAGAAAAAACTTTGATGATGATTTTCATTCATAATTCAAGTCAGTGGGAGAACCTGATTCGATTAACAGAAAACTGCATTCAGGCTTTTGTCATTTTTGCCCCTCTAAGGCACAGCTGATTTCGTAATCATAATGTTCCTTGAGATAAGAATCAATGCATGAAGCCTGCTAAATAATTTAAGAATAAAGCGTTGATGATAATATTCAGTATAACACTTCTCAAAATATTTCCTTCACACCCTCTTAGATTCAATTTCACAGCATCCTGGTGGGTCAGGTAGACTCAGATTTTTATAGAAAAGGAAGAAATATGGCCTAGACAATACAGACGAGCAGCCCAAGCTCACACAGCAAATCAAGAGCAGAACCATAGATGCATTATACTTTTCCCTCCGCACCATCTATGCTATTATCAAAATGCTAATGCTGAGAATTTGCAGCAGTAACATCAACACTAACAAAATGAGAGTAGCCATCCTTTGTTGAGAGCTGACGGCTTCAGACACTATGCTAAGCACGATATATCAATTACCTCATTTAATAACTACTTAGAATAATAATATGAGTAGTCATCATCTCAGGTTACAGTGAGGGGATGGAAGCAAAGAGAGGAAGAACTTTGACCTAGGTCACGCAGCCTGTGCATGGCTCAGCTGCCATTCAACTTCACATCTGCCCGAAAGCTTGGGGAATCTTGAACTTGCTCTCTGATGTATGGCTGGCAGCCTCTGACTTCAAGTCCTCAAGTCTTTGCTCAAAAGTCAACTTCTCCATGAGGACTACTCTGAACATTCCACTTAAAACTGCAGCCCTGGGGCGCCTGGGTGGCTCAGTCAGTTAAGCATCTGCCTTCAGCACGGATCATGATCCCGAGGTCCTGGGATCGAGCCCCACATGGGGCTCCCGGCTCAGCGGGAAGCCTGCTTCTCCCTCTCCCACTCCCCCTACTTGTGTTTCCTCTCTCGCTGTCTCTCTCTTTGTCAAATAAATAAATAAAATCTTTAAAAACAAAACAAAACAAAAAAACCCTGCAGCCCTGCCCTCACCCTGCCAAAATCCATCTTCCTTACCTTGCTTTTTCGAGTGGTTTAATGTTTTGTTTCTAACGCTGATTTTTAACATAAGTACCACAGGGCAAAGGTCTTTGGGGTTTTCTCACCAACATATCCTAGATGTCAGACTGTGCTACCCAATAAAACTTTTATAATGACATTTTTTTTTTTAATCTGTGCTATATGGGTAGCCACTAGCCACAAAAACAAAACTGAAAGTGGCGAATGCCATTGAAGGACTGAATTTTTAATTTATCTAATTTATCTAATTGTATTACTTAAACAGCCACATGTAGCTAATGGTTACCACACTGGACCACAAGGGCCTAAAACAAAACCTAGCATAAATATACTCCCAATAAATGTTTGTTAAATGAATGCATTTATAGGGGCGCCTGGGTGGCTCCGTCGTTAAGCGTCTGCCTTCGGTTCAGGTCATGATCCCAGGGTCCTGGGATCGAGCCCCGCATTGGGCTCCCTGCTCAGCGGGAAGCCTGCTTCTCCCTCCTCCACTCCCCCTGCTTGTGTTCCCTCTCTCGCTGTGTCTCTCTCTGTCAAATAAATAAATAAAATCTTAAAAAATAAATAAATAAATAAATAAATGCATTTATAAATAAGTTAATGAGTAAGACATATTTTCTATATAATTACTTTCACTAATTACAAGTTAAATTTTATATTTTTTTCAATAGAATTAATAGCTGAAAAAAGTCCAGATCAAATTAAGAAGATAGTTTGAAAATTCAGGTATGACTGAAAGCACAAGCACAGATTTCTCAAACTACTGACTCCCTTTTGTCATCAGTGACTTAAAACCTTGCAAAACATTTTTGGAAAACAGCAAACCAGCAGCACATAATGAATTCCCATGTATGACAAAAAAATACAATGATTACTATAGTCATTCAGTACCTTTTTGACCTTGTTCTTTTTCTCATAGGTCTCTGACAGAGGTTTTTTCTTCTGCTGAGTTGTGTCTTTGGAGAATAAATACTCAAATTCACTAGTATCCCGAATATCAGGTTCTTCTAAGGAATCCCATAAGGTTGGTGTAGCATTTTGGCTTAAAAGAGAAAATGATAAGTTAAACATTAAAATCAAAACAGAAAAGAACAGAATATAATGAAATCTCTAATTCACTTTATAACTCATTTAAGATTATATATATTTTTTTTTAATTTTATTTTATTATGTTATGTTAATCACCATACATTACATCATTAGTTTTTGATGTAGTGTTCCATGATTCATTGGTTGCGTATAACACCCAGTGCTCCATTCAGTACATGCCCTCTTTAATACCCATCACCAGGCTGACCCATCCCCCCACCCCATCCCCTCTAGAACCCTCAGTTTGTTTATATTTATATATGTATGTTTTTATATATCTCCTTCTAGTAAAGCTTGAAGAAGAGCTTTTCATGTTACACCTTTTTTTTTTAAAGTCAAAATATACTATAGAACATCAAAGCTAACAACCATTTCCAAAACCGAATGATCATTAGATACAATCAAAGAGAGAAAGAGAGATTTAGAGAAACCAAGTGGGACCAGAAATCCTGCGATTTACATGATTGATGCCATATAAGCTGTTCCTCCCTCAGTCTATAGTGTTTCCATCATGGGTAAAAATGGGCATCATATAAATGCTGAAAAGATAACCAATTCTGAGATATTGATGGGATAATTCTTAATAAAAATACTTAAAAAAAAAAAATTCTTCACCTTCTACTAAGGTAAAGATTTACCCTCTCTTTGGGCTTTTTCTAATACTTTTAAAAATGGTTTTTAGGATTAGCTCATGTCAACTCAGGGCAAGACCCCTAATTTGTGAACAGACTGAGCTCATTTAGAAATACTTGATTTAGAACACTCCGCCCCAACAACAGTATTTAACAATGAAAACAAACCAAAAAACTTCATTGCACCAGCCCCTGCAGAGATTTCAACTAAAGCAGCCATGGGGAGGCTGTACTTTTTGTTTCTAGGGTTTTTTTTGTTTGTTTGTTTTTATTTCTTTTTTTTTTAAAGATTTTATTTATTTATTTGAGAGAGAGAGAATGAGAGAGAGAGAACACATGAGAGGGGATAGGGTCAGAGGACGAAGCAGACTCCCTGCCGAGCAGGGAGCCTGATGCGGGACTCGATCCCGGGACTCCAGGATCATGACCTGAGCCGAAGGCAGTCGCTTAACCAACTGAGCCACCCAGGCACCCCTCTAGGGTTTTTTTTTTTTATCTTCAAAAAACAGGGACACTAGTTTTGAAACAAAGAGAAGAAGATATGGAAAATCAGGTATAAAAGAACTGCCTCTGAGACCAAAACTTGGAAGGGTTACCATCCAGGCTTCCTTTAGTCAGAACACATTTTCCCCCAAGTGTCTACTGTCTTAAATTATTTTTAAACACTCTTAATACCCATAGACAGAAAAAAATAATGTTTCATCTACACATTTATTGTTTTTCAAATATATGTCTATATTATGATCCATAATATCTGTAAGTACCTACCTTTGTTTTAATATGTATTTTTTTCCATCACTGAAAACTAAAAGAACTATTATTATATGGGGTAGTCCACAAAATGTTTTGATGCTAAAAGGCGATTTTCATATTCAAAACAGATGGGAAGACTGACTTCTCGGATCTGTGTGTTCACATTTTGCTACATGTCTGCCTTTCCCATGAAATACGAACATTTTAGTCTGTTCAGATTCACTTCTCTCCACTTTTTTATAATATTTGAGCCATTTAAGAGTATATGTGTGACATCTATAATGTTTAAGAGTATAATGAATACCTGTGAAATCATCACCCAAGATCTAGGACACTTCCAACGAAGTACATCCATCCCTGTGCTCCTGCCTCAGCCGCCCACCTCTGCCACTCACTTAACTTCCATTTGAAACACAAACACTGTTAAGTGCTAATCTCAGCTGCACTTGGGAAGGGGGATCTTGATGGCAGAAGAGAGCCAGGGAATTTTGGAGCATGCAGTCTGTCAAGGGCTGCTGGTCTGGGCCTCATGAAGGTTCTGGGAAGCCGAGGAGAGGGTGTGTAGAGGGAGGTAGTGTGATGCACAGGGGGATTGTTCAGCCCATCCATCCCCCACCTCCCCAACCCCCATCCCTTCAGCTGTACTGCTTGGCCCCAGCTCCAAGGACTCTGAGCTCGGGCTAGTATAAGTAGGCTGCAACTCACTCCTATTCTAGAGTAAATTGGCTTTGATAGGTTGAACACTTCATGACCATTTACTACATTGTTTCTATGGGAAAAGGCATTTCCAATAGTAAATAAAAGAATTTTGGAATACTACCTCTCAGCGAGTTGGGGACAGCAGGCATTTGGTTGGGCAGTAACAAGAACTCGCTCACAATAGACCATCTCCTCTGTTATAATGGTCACTTCCTCTCTGACCACTGAACATACAAATCTAGCTCACAAGAAGAGGAAGAGGAGGTAGGAGGAGGAGGAAAGAGAGACTGGAGAGGGGAGAAATGGTAGAGGGAGGAGGGAGGAGAGGAGGAAGGAGGAGAAGATACTCACTAGGAAAACATATTTATTAGGAAGCCAAAAAAGTAGACAGATTAGGATTTCTTTTTCTTTAACTAAACGTCTCTTCCCTATTCTAGAAGCCAGAAAACAGACACTGAAGAATGCAAAATGGCAAAAGTTAAAAATCAGTTCATGTTAGTAACAAAAACAATCAGGTGGGTGAGAGGCAGTACATATATAATGGAGAAAATTCATATTTTACTGCTAGATCCCCAGAAGACCAAGACCAAGATTTACCATGGGTACATTATACACAGTGCTTACCCTCCTGGTTGTACAAAATACTAAAATACCATTTCCTCTCTTTTTAAAAAACACACCCTAAATAATTTTAGTTTTGTACATAAATAAATACTACACAGAAAATCTACAGCCTTTTAGTTTAAAAGAAGTACTCATGCTCTGAGGGTACAAAACCATTCTGAGGGACCCATGATAAGAGAGCCTAAATGTGTGGAGCAGCGGGAAGCGGCCATATTGCAGTCTTCATGCCAGAAACTCAGTACATTCATCTACTTTTCATTTTGCTTAAAACTGAAGCCCTAAACTTATAGTGAAACTAGTAAGAGCTTGAGTATGTAATTGTTTTCGTTCTCAAAATGGCCAACTACATAAGGAGCGAAAAACATAACGATTATCTCCAGCTTGACCTTGTCCCACCTTGAACAGTGGGCAAAGGGCCCATATCTCCCAGCAGTACCATTATACCACTGCTATGGTCTAGGATATTGGTTGCTTATGGAGTCTTGAGGGGAATAGAGTGGAGGCAGGCTAGTGAGACACAGGTGTGGAACAGTTCCATGTGCTGTCAGAACACACTATCCCAGGGCTGACAGGTGGGATTCATCACTCTGGAATGTCTGTACATTAATTTTTGAGAACACTAATCAGGGAGCACAGCTCCATATAAATATTCTGGGAAGCTATTTCTTAGGAAATGTCATCTGAGTCTTGAATGGGACAAAAAGGAATATTAGTACTGCAACTAATCATTAGGAGCTATTTCGGGATCTTCTCTCTCTCTCTCTCTTTAACCATTCATTTGGGAAATAATAAAGTATCAGCATTTTAAAAAAGCATCAAGATTTCCACACATAAACTCTTGGTCCTTATTTTTTTTTGGTTAGAGGAAAGGGGCCAATATGAAGCACATAATCAACTTAGTTCACCATATGCGTAGCTTGAAGGTAATACCCACTCCTCCTATAGTGATTTCCAGTTGCTTTATAATTGTGAATTTCATGTTATTTTAATATCCTGCCTTCCACATACAAAATGTTATATAAATTGAAAGATTCACCACCACATAATGATTTGGGGAATAAGTTCAAAAATTTATGTTTAAAAATGTGTTCTCTATTTGCTGTCGTTTGCAAACAAATGAACTTCAAATCTAGAGATTGTCAATATCTCTCTCATTGTCCTCTTGACAGACTCTGAAATGAGGCAGAAGAAATTAAATTCAAATATGTTTGAATGGAAGTTTCTAACCAACCTATCTTGCTGCCATACAGACCCAGCTTAACAAGCTATACACATGTTAGATGTACTCTACTGCACTTTCTCTGAGCAACAAGGTATAAGATGTGAGGGCATTTAACAGTTAGGGGAATGAGAGTTCAAGCAGAGATTTTCTGTTTTTTGACTCCCTTCTGACCTAAAGAGCCAATGACTCAGCTATGTCTGGCTCTTCTAATAAAACCTGAAAAATTACACATACCTGTTAAGTATCCAGATCATAAGGTTGATGATCCCATCGAAAGACAAGATAGATATTCTAAAAATCTTCAGTGAACCCAAGTATAGGTTCAGACTCTATGTCCGTATGATTACTTGCTAGCTGTAGGGATGTTGGAGAAGGCTCCAACTTAGACCAGGGCTCTTCTCTAAGAAGAGTCTGTAAAATGGAACCTTTATCTTAGAGAAGGATCTGACATTGCACACACTGTTCTCCCAGCATCAGTCTATAGCAAATACAGACAAGACCTGGTAGAGACAGACATTCTCCCTCTAAACACTCCAACATTGTTTATCCAAAGTACTCACTATACTGCATCTGAGAAACGAATGTCACAGTACCCAGATATCCAACTGGGAAGAATAAAATGTCACTTGTGCAAAATCCTGGGAATTCACAACCTGAGAATGGGCCAGAGGAGTTGGGCTTACCTTTTATCACTTATTTGTATTCTAGTCCAGTATAAAGGCTTCATGGGGCAACTCGGCTCAACGGCTGGCTTCCGAGGACATTGGCTAGAAGAAGGGCCAACTCCAAAGAAGAGTCCAGGAGGAGGTGGGGGTGCAAGTCCTGGAGGTGGTGGAGCAGGAGGAGGCCCCCCACTGGTGGGCAGAGCAGGAGAATTGGGAAGTGGTGGTGGAGGAGGAGGCGGAGGAGGCCCGGCACTTGGAGGCAGAGGAGGGGGCGGAGGGGGTGGCGGTCCAGCACTCACAGGTGGTGGTGGAGGTACTGGTGGCAAAGGTCCAAGTCCAGGTGGGAGGGGAGGAGGAGGAGGGGGAGGGGGAGGGGTGGCTGCTGGTAGGGGTGGTGCAGGAGGGGGAGGCGATGCCTTTTGCTGACTTGGTGAGAGGCCTTCCACAGACTGAAGTGCTACATGGGTGTCTTTGTTGTCATTTGGGGGAGAGAGCTGACTTAGAGAGGAGATATTCAGCTTTTTGGGTATTATCTGGTTGCTTCTGATTGTCTTGCCTTCACCTTCACAGGGTTTGAGAAATGTCTCTCTGTCTGTCTGGATGCACACATTTCTGTAGGTCTTTGGAGGATAGTCATCGTCAGTGGAGATACATACATCTCTCATCTCTTCACGTCCTCCTCGCCATCGGTGTTCTGTCTCCCGTTTGAGAGTTTCAATGGTTTCTTCTAGTCTTGCCGTAACCACTGCGTGCTCCCCCCGGATATGAAATGCCTGGAGTTCAAACTGAGCCTGTAGAGATAGCAGTGGGAAAGAGAGTGAAGAATTTATTAAAAAACAAGACCAAAAACAAACAAATATCCGAAATAAAAACCTCAATATCATCCCTGTGCCACCATAGCCCAGCCTACATCAACACAGGGAAACACAGAGACATTCTTTTGAGGATATGACAGGGTATAAATTTCACTTTAGGAATTTTTCAAAGACTTAAACCGTTGGAATAGAAGCATAATTTCATCCAATCTGACCTCATGGGGAATAATTACCATGGATTAAGGCTTACAGTAAAACTGTCCCCTAAGAACTTTCACCCCGTTTTGATATCAAAAGCAAAACAAAGTGTTCATAAAAATTTGAACATGCTTGAATATATCTTTTATTACTTTTAATTTGGGGTTGGAAAAAGAAAACTGTAAGAAAAAAATGGAGATTCTTCTGGCTATCCTCACAGTCTCCCTTAGAATACCTCTTCTATGGGGTTTCTGGGCCAACACAGCAGAAACAAAAGGTGTGAGAAGAAGCTATCACACGCGTATTTTCTAGAAGTTTCCATATTAAAGCTGTCCCTGATCAATACTTGGGTCTGTTTCATAATTTTTCATAATATAGTAATAAATAAGCAATACAAATACACAGAAAATGAGACTATTAAGATTTGCTATTTTTGTCTTCCACATACCCAGGATTTTAAACTGTATTTTATAAGACATTTACCTTTTTTTCTATTTCAATGTTTTATTTAGATTCTAGTTAGTTAACATATAGTATAACATTGGTTTCAGGAGTAGAATTGACTGATTCATCACTTACATATAACACCCAGTGCTCATCACAACAAGTGCCCTCCTTAATACCGATCACCCATTTAGCCCATCCTCCACCCACCTCCCTCCATCAACCCTCAGTTTGTCCTCTGTAGTTAGGTAAGAGTCTCTTATGGTTTGCTTCTCTCTTTTTTGCCCTTCCCCTATGTTCATCTGTTTTGTTTCTTAAATGCCACATATCAGTGAAATCATATGGCTTTGGTCTTTCTCTGATGGACTTATTTCACTTAGCATAATATACTCTAGCTCTATCCACGTCTTTGCAAATGGAAGATTTCATTCTTTTTGATGTCTGAGTGATATTCCACTCTTTATATACCACCTCTTCTTTATCCATTCATCTGTTGATGGACATCTGGGTTCTCTCCATAATTTGGCTATTGTTGATAATGCTGCTTTTATAAACACTGGGGGGTATGTGCCCCTTCAAATCAGTATTTTTATGTCCTTTGGGTAAATATCTAGTAGTACAATTCGTGGGTCATAGGGTAGTTCTATTTTTAACTTTTTGAGGAACATCCAAACTGTTCTCTAGAGTGGCTGCACCAGTTTGCATTCCCACCAACAGCATAAGAGGGCCCCCCTTTCTCCACATCCTTGCCAACATCTGTTGTTTCCTGTGTTAATTTGAGATACCACGGGTGTAGGATGGTATCTCATTGTGGTTTTGATTTGTATTTCCCTGATGATGAGTGATGTCAAGCCTCTTTTCATGTGTATATTAGCCATCTGGATGTCTTCTTTGAAAAAATGTCTGTTCGGGGAGCCTGGGTGGCTCAGTCGTTAAGCGTCTGCTTTCGGCTCAGGTCATGATCCCAGCGTCCTGGGATTGAGCCCTGCATTAGGCTCCCTGCTCAGCGGGAAGCCTGCTTCTCCCTCTCCCACTCCCCCTGCTTGTGTTCCCTCTCTCGCTGTGTCTCCCTCTGTCAAATAAATAAATAAAATCTTAAAAAAAAAGAAAAAAAAATGTCTGTTCATATCTTCTGCCCATTTCTTTGTTAGTTCTTTATTATTTATTTTGGGGGCATGTTAACTTTATAAGTTCTTTATATGTATATCCCTTTATGAGATATGTCATTTGCAAATATCTTCTTCCATTCCATAGGTTGTCTTTTAGTTCTGTTGATTGTTTCCTTTGCTGTGCAGAAGATTTCTATCTTGATGAAGTCCTAATAGTTCATTTTTGCTTTTGTTTCCCTTGTGTCTGGAGACATGTTTAGTGAGAAGTTGCAATGGCCAAGGTCAAAGAGGTTGCTACCTGTGTTCTCCTCTAGGATTTTGATGGAGTCCTGTCTCACATTTAGGCCTTTCATTGATTTTGAATTTATTTTTGTGTATGGTGTAAGAAAATAAGTTTTCCCAACACCATTTGTTGAAGAGACTATCTTTTTTTCCATTGGATAGTCTTTCCTGCTTTGTCAAAGATTAGTTGACCATAGAGTTGTGGGTCCATTCCTGGGTTTTCTATTCTGTTTCATTGATCTATGTGTCTGTTTTTATGCCAATACCATACTGTCCTAATGACTACAGCTTTGTAATATAGTTTGAAGTCCAGAATTGTGATGCCTCCCAGCTCTGCTTTTCAAGAGTGCTTTGGCTATTCAGGGTCTTTTGTGGTTCCATACAAATTTTAGGATTGTTTGTTCTAGCTCTGTGAAAAATGGTGGTGGTATTTTGATAGGGATTGCATTAAATGTGTAGATTACTTTGGGTAGTATAGACATTTTAACAATATACGTTCTTCCAATCCATAAGCATGGAATATTTTTCCATTTCTTTGTGTCCTCTTCAGTTTCTTTTAGTAGTGTTCTATAGTTTTCACAGTATAGATCTTTTAGCTCTTTGGTTAGGTTTATTCCTAAATATCTTACAGTTTTTGGTGCACTTGTAAATGGGAAGGACGTTTACCTTTTTAACACTTATCTTTTCAGTTATTTCAATGCCTTGAATCTATGGTTTTACACTTATTAGCACAGAGCTGACATGCTCTTGGTCATTAACTAGTCTGTTTCCCAGCCTTCAAAGCCATTTAGCCTATTTTGATTAACTGGAAAACAGTCAAATTCATGATGTTATTAGGGTTTCCAGAATCCAGTTTCACGTTAATTAAATATTTCTGGTGACCTCATTTAATTTCTGCCTTTCTCATCAGATTATACATTCCCATGAGATGGAATCAGGGAGGGTACCATCCTTCACCTCTGTATTCTAGCAGCTAGCACAACAAGTAGTAGATAGATATAACGACAGCAACAGTTCTAACCAGTCATTGTCCTATGGGCCTTCCTGATGGCCAACAAAACTCTCTTCACTGTAATTTCAGCCCACAAATGTCTAGAACACCAAAGTGTACACAAGCGCAGATCCCTTTTGCGTTGAAAAGGTAAAGAAATATTTGTAATGACCTCATCAGAGAAGGTAAAGACATGTGAAGATTCTCCACATTCATTAAGACACCTTATAACTATATTTATACTAGCCTTTTTCCCTTAGGAACCAACCCCCAAGTAACTATGGTTAGTAGAACTAGAGGCAAGGTTTTTCTAAAGTTGATTTTCTCACACGTAAACATGGCAGTCTGATGCAACTCTGAAAAAACAGGCAAAATCTGGACACCATCTATTTCATATATAGCACAGAGGGTTAGACACCTGAGCTCTGGATTCATACTACCTCATTTGCATCCCAGCTTAGCCACTTACTAGCTTTACAACCTTGGGCAAGGGACTTCATGTCTTCAAGTCTGAGTTTCCCCAAGTGTAAAGTGAGGATGATTTTGAGCCATCTCTAGGGTTTTTAGAAATGTACATGACATCTGAATAAATGTTACTCTTAGGTATTATTGCTAATGATAATATTAGAAGAAAAGACTAACAGATTTGCAATTATTCTTTCACATTTCCAAATAATGCCACCTTTGTGGAATGATGGGCACCAAACCAGGAAAAGCTTTAGCAAGTCTGGATAAACAAAGTAGTACAAATACAAAACTTTACCCAATCTTTCAGGAGTTCTACTACCAAATGCCTGAATGTAATTTCAAGTTTCATTCAACTATGTGATCAAGATAATCTGTGTTTCAACATCCTGCCCGTCACCATCTCCCCCTCCCTCTCTTGCCCACCTCTAGCTACAGCCCAGCCCTGATGTCCACAGAATCGCTTGCCAACACGTCAATTTCATTACAGTGACTAGTTCATTTCTGCCACAACAAACTAACTCTGGCGTGTTGTTCCCAACTAACCTTCTTCCAAGAAAGTTAAGAGTCAAATAACATTGATGAGCCAAAAATTTTCAGCTTCTTAATAATAGGAAAAAGTTGCAAAGACATGTTCCACAGAGAGACTTTCCCTTTATCACACAACTGACCTGTATCTACAGCAAACACCTTGGTCTTGTCCCATGCCCTTCCCATCTACCTCTTAACCAATGATCTTCTGAAGCCGCTGAAGCTGATATATGTACCTATACATTGTTTTGGTGACTCTGTAATGCATTTGCTTAGTGCAGTGGGTAGAGCACAAACTGGGCAGGTTATTTAACTTCTCTGGACCTCAGTGTTCTCATAAGTAAAATGGGGATACTAACAGATTCCACCTCATAAGGCGGCTGCGAAGTAGATGAGTTTATATATATAAAACAACATATAGAGGAGTGTTTGGAACATAGTAGGTGCCACATAAGTTTGCTACCATTATTACTGTCTCTTTGCCACTGTCCCAGAGGCCAGTGGCCACACCATCTTGCTTTCAGCTCTCAGCAGGCTCCCCGCATCATGCTCTATCCATCTAAAGCAAAAATAAAGTTACTTTATTTATTTATTTTTTAAGAGAGAGAGAGTGTGTGAGCAGGAGGAGGGGCAAAGGGAAAGGGAGAATCTCAAGCAGACTCCCCACTGAGCAGGGAGCCTGACATGGGACTCGATCTCAGGACCCTGAGATCATGACCTGAGCCGAAACCAACAGTCGGATGCTTAACCAACTGAGCTACCCAGGCACCCCTAAAGATACCTTCTTATTCTGTTCTGTTGTCCTTTCTTCCTCACTGTCTCTTTTTCAAAGCAGAATTTTTGGGGAAAAAAGCATACAACTCTCGCTTGATCTACTTTCTCATCCATTCTCCTTTCAAACAATAATAATTGGCTTCTGCCCCCGGCCCCACCCCCAATTCATTGAAATCCTGCAA